CTCCATGCCTCTGCTCTGGCCACACAGCCAGGGCAGGCACTCCTGCTTGTCCCACTGCTCAGGGCAGTGTCTGAGCCTCAGCCCCCACCCTCCCCCCAAGACTGGGCCATGCAACGGGAACATCTCAGCAGCGAGAGCCTTCTCGGGGCTTTTTCTGCAGGCAACCAGAGTGCTCCCTGAGATCCTCCAGCAGCCCAGCTGCCTGCAGGTGCTGGAGAAACTCTTCCACCGCAGCCGGGAACATCTCAGCAGCGAGAGCCTTCTCGGGGCTTTTTCTGCAGGCAACCAGAGTGCTCCCTGAGATCCTCCAGCAGCCCAGCTGCCTGCAGGTGCTGGAGACACTCTTCCCCCGCAGCTCTTCCTGGTGCTGCTCTTCCAGATGTCCTTCTGCGCAGAGCTGACGCCGCAGGAGGCTGCCATGTTCTGGAGGGAACGCCAAGGAGAAGAGTCTGCTCCCAGCAGCCCCGTGAGGTGCTCCACGCCAGCCCTGCTGTGTGTGCTGTGGAGCTGGCAGCAGGGCCGGGGTGCCAGGGTGCCTTGGGCTTTGCTCTGCACGCAGGTTCACAGTGCGGACCATGAAAGCACTGCTCTGCCGTGGTGGCTACGAGAGGCACGTGCTGGCCATGGCGAGGAAGGGTGGCTGGGCCATGCTCCTCAACACTGAGACCCACCACATGGGAGTAGGTTTGCTGGCCAGGTGAGAGCCCCCTTGTCCCCACTCCGGCCCAGCATGTCTCCCCTGCAGACAGGCTGCCCGGCAGAGCCGGCAGGGCTGCAGCTTTGGCCCTTGTGAGGGAGGGCTGGCCGAGGAGAGCAGCCAAGAGAGCTGCCGCTCCATCGCTGCGGGGCTCTGCGAGCAGCTGGGGGAGAGGTGGTGTTAGCAGGCCCAAGAGAGGGTGACGGCCAGAAGCAGTGCCCTGCCGTGGGGCCTGCAGTGCCCTCTCGTGGGGCCTGGGCTCGTGCCACCAAGAGCCCCGGGGCCGGGGGGTGGTCTGTGTGCAGGCAGCCCAGCAGGGAAGGGGCAGGATGCCCAGAGGAATCCTGGAAGAGCCCGGCGGGCCTGAATGCAGAGTGGGCAGCAAATGGGTACCATTAGCAGGGCTGACTTCATGGCAGGAAGGGTGTTTTTGCAGTCTGCCCCGCCCAAAAGAACCCAATGATGCTGGGCAGTGACTTTCTCATGGGGAGGTGTGCTGAGCAAAGAGCAGGCTTCCACGAGCAAACGCTGCGGGCTGCCGGAGCTGAACACCAACCTGGCCTTGCCCTGGCTGTTGTGGTGCCTGGGCGATTGGCTAGAGGGATGGGGAACGCGATCGCAGAACAGCTTGGCCTGGCTGTGCAGAACTGACAGTGCCTTCTTGCCTCTGCCAGAGAGATGAGGAAGAGCCCAAGACAGCTGCGTCTTTTCCTCTTCCAGTGGCTGACAGCGCTGCTCAAAGGCAGAGAGCCCTGCGGGGAGATGCCTGCCATGGCTTTCCTGGTGGAGGTGAGCCTGATGGCAGGCGGTGCCTCTCGCGGCTGGAGAGGAGCGAAGGAGCAGGCAAGGGAGGTGCGCGGTGCGGCCTGAGGCCCAGGGCAGGGAGCGGGGCTCCCAGGGCTCTCCGTGCTCACAGCTGCCTTTGGGCCGGGCCTGGTGCCCTGGCGCCGCCCTGTTCATCTGCCCTGCTGGTGGGATCCC